CCCATGCCTACACTTCTCAGGGTGACCCCAGGGCCTCCCCAGAGCTGACTGCAGGAAGGAGCAAGCAGGAGAGTCTGGCCCTCACACCCACCCTCCCTCGGATCCTTCGACGTTTCAGAGAGCCCTGAGCTTCCATGTAACTACGTACTCGGGGTCCCCCAGCTCCTTTGTTGCTGCGGACTCTGTCGGGCCGAACAAAAGTGCATTGGATTAGCCACAGTGGATTAAAAGATTTGCTGCTTGGAATTCACCGCACACCCTGACAATCACATCATATCCACAGCACTCGCTGGGCCATCTGGCAGATGGACGGACGGCAGTTGGGCAGACTGTGGGCCGCTGTCCGGGAAGAACTTTCAGAAGGGACCGGACTCAGGGAGAAGATGGAGGCCCGGGTGGCAGGATAGCCACTGCAGCGCCTTCAGGACAGATGCAGTGACACAGGTCACACAGAGCACACAAACAACGTGAAGAGTGACCGAGGCAGGCTACAGGGACTCGCCAGGTGCCACCGTCCACAACACACTCCCATCTTTGATGTCCTCTGGGCTCCATGATAAGCTCCACAGTGCCCAGCAGGCTGGCCTCCCAGGTCCTGGGTGGCTTTCGGCCCCTTGACACAGGTGGATGGGTTTTGTTTCTCGTTTCCAATTTTGCCGTCTTTTTCTGTTCTTTTCCTCTCAACAAAACCGTTCTTTAAACCAAACTGATTCTACAATGCGTTACGGCCTGAACCGGGAGCGGTGACCGGGAGCGGGCCGGGTGGCCAGTTGGGGGTCTTTGATGCCGCCTCCTTGTGAAATTTGACGTGAAAGGCCCATGAGGACGACTTTGGGGGCCGTGGCGCAGTGGGATTCTTGCCGCCGCCTCGTGCCGCCGTCTTTGTCTCTCTTCCCAGGGCCCTTCCTGGGGACACGCTGGGCACCATTTCAGGGTGATGGTGCAGGTGTGTGTGTGTGTGTGCAAGTGGGGTGGCCATGGTGGGCCCAGTAGTCAAGGGCAGGGCTGCAGCCATGAGAACAATGGGCACTGAGGGTGCATCCACCTGTCTACCCACCCACCTGCCTGTCCATCCATCTGTCTGTCTGCCCACCGCCGCTGGCTTACCTCACCTGCCTGCTTCCACGCACCTGCTCTCGCCCGTCCCTTCCACTGTCCGCCATGACGGACCTGGCCGGCTGAGTGCTCACAACCACTCCAGAAGGCGGGCCAGCTCGTGGCCACTGCATGGCTGGAGAAAGAAGTGTGACTCTGGGCTGCAGCTCTGGCTCCTGCGCCGATTGGCTGAGGCGGGGACCAGATGACGGGCCTCAGAACCCTATGGTAGCCATGGCAACCAGCCCCTTTAGACACCGCCACCCCGATCCACTCCTGACTGCCAAGGGAGCAGGCAGCACCGCTGGTGGGTCCACTCCGAGGGAGAGGCTGTTGAGCATCTGTATGTATGTGTGTTTCTGTGTGTGTCCTGTGGGGGGGCCCTTCCCTCCTGAGAGGTCAGTCCATGCCCTGCCTGGACCTCCAGGGAAAGGAGGAGCAGAGGCTCCCACCTTGTCTGCATTCTCTACTGAGAAGAGGGCTTCAGGTCAGGCTTGTCCCAGGGGCTGAGATTGGAGCTAGCCTGTGGGAGCAAGGTGAGGGAGAAGCCCCCAGGTGGGCCCACTGCAGACCCCTGAAGACCTCTGTGTGCTCCCACTGGCCACCAATTGTGACCCAGACATGCTTACACCCTCCTCAAAAGCCCTCTGAGCCCCCAGTGTGGCCCTGTCCTTGCCACCATCTCCCGATGCCCTCCCTGGCAGGCCTTGGCACCCTGTGACAAGCCGCACCCTGACCGTGGCCCTGCCCTGTGACCACCTGCAGCCCTGAGATCCAAGCTTCTCAGCAAAACTGTGGTATCTTAGTTCCCTGGACAGTTGTGTGTGTGGGTGGGGGAAATACAGCATGTCTGAAGTCCCTCGTCTGTCCACAAGTTCCCAGGAGCAGCAGGCCCCGGTGAAGGCCAAGTTCCTCTTCCTGGACCAGACCCTGCAGCACCTGCCAGGTGGACAGCTGAGCTCAGCGTAGGGCTGTGAAGGAGCCAGGATTGAGGGAGCAGGTGCCAACCACAGCAGTGGCAATAGTGAAGGTAGAGCCCCAGGTGGCCAGGAAGGTACACAGTGCTACCTGTGTGGGGTTCCCTGGCTCCTGAATCCCTAAGGAGGTGAAATTGCCCGGGTAACTAAACAGGACACCCCTGTACCTTTCCACATCTCCTCTTTCTACTACCTTGCCACAACAGGCCAGCAGGGCTGAGGGTCATGGCAGAGACCTGGACTGGGCACCACAGGTCAGCGTCTCACCTAGCTTCCCGCAGAGCACAACTGTACAAATCCCGCCCCCCCCCCCCGTTGTCACCTGTCCCATCCAGGAAACAGTGTGATGGGGAGGGTCCTTCTACCCTCGAGGACTCAGAGACATCCAAATGAGAGGGTCACCAGGTGTGTGCCCAATGCCACCTCTCACCTGTGGACTGCCAGCCAGTCGAAGCAGTCCCCCAGTGTCCACAGCACAGTTGCGACCCTTTAACTTTAAGGCCTACTGTCATGGAAACAACCAAGGCTCATCTAACTGCCTGGATACAGGGAGGAGCTGGAAGGGGGTGTTGGGTCCCCGGAGCCCCAGCTGGTTTAGGGACAAGGACATGGTAGTGGCCAGCTTGCCCAGGGCAGGCAGCCTCTGCAGACTGACCCCTCCACACACACAGGCTGCAGGGCCTCAGTGAGGGTACTCAGGGCTTCAGAGACTGGGGGACTTGGAGTTCTGGAGAAGGGGAGACTGGGAGCCCCCAGAAAGACCACAGGAGAGAGGCTGAGAAGTGGAGGCCCAATGGGAAGAGAAATGAGGTTGGGGCGGGGGGGGCAGCAGGGTTCTGCTGGCCCAGTCTGGGGGCAAGGGCATGTGCAGGGCAGCTCCCATGGTTCTGTTCCTGGTTCCATGTACATCTGCCTGTGAGCATGCATTTCTGAGCACACACGTGTGTCTGTGTGGACATGTTTGAGTGTGCATGTTTTCACATGCTGTTGTATGTTGGGGCATGTCAGTCACATACACACAAATACCTGCCTCTAGGGGTGAAAGCAGCAGGGGTTGTAGCCCACAGGGCCCTGTCCTTGAACCTGAACCTGGGTTGGTTTTGCTGGGGACAGCATGAGTCTACAATTTGCCGAGTCAAGAGCATTATTGAGAATTGAAGGAACTCTCCATAGTGAATGGGCTCATGGTTCCAGGGTCTCACAGAAGACCTGCAGTGTTCTCAGTCACAAAGGGACACCTGAGGTTACAAATGAGGGGCCATGGCACACATGGGTGACTTCTGGGCTCCACAGAACCTTTCCTGGTCAGCAGCTACCCCATGGCTCCAGAGGTGAGACCCAGGCACAGGATCCAAGAATCAGTGCAAGATGGGCCTTGCAACTCCAGCCTGGCCAGCTGTTGGCGAGAGACCTGAGGAGTCTGACACAAAGGGAGGTGAGCATATGGGTGATTGTCGACTGCAGGTTTTCAGGGCTGGGGCTGGTGTGAGGTAGCCAGTAGTGTGGACTGGCTATCACCGGCACAAAGGACTCAGGATGCCGTGGAGGCTGGAACAGGCCTGACCAGGAACCTGCATTCCAGTTGGAGCTGGAGGCTTGGGGACTGTATCGGTACTGGGCTCCAGAGGTAGCCATGGTCCGCTTGGAGCAAAACAACAAACAAAGCTGTTAACAGAACAGGGTGATTGTGGGGGGGGCTGGTGTGTGTCTAAGGGGGCAACTCCACTACAGAGTAGCAGAAACAGGAGGCCAAGGGATTTTGAGTCAGGGAGAGTAAGAGACAAGCCAAGGGGCTGGGCTTGGGGGAAGGGGACAGAGGGTCTTGGGGCACACAGCATAGCTTTGGGGGTACACCTCTCTGATAATAAAGGCTTTGTATTAATTTGACTGGGCCAGACTTCTTCATGGTTTAGCAGTTGAGATGCAGTATAACTCTTCATGATGAGACTCACAGGCATACCCCCTCAGAGTGTGACCTGCGACACTGTTTATTTTATAAGAGATCAAGGAGACAGAAGTGAGCAGAGGAAAGAAGCGCTGCCAAGTGGAGCCCATCCTCTGGACCTGCGGTCCCCTGTGCTGGGAAGCTCCCAGATCCAGGGCAAGGTTGGTGCCCAGACACATGGAGATTGTCAAAGAATGTTGGGCCTGGAGATGCTGGAAGGAGATTAGGACCCTTTTCCAGAGCTGCTGCTCTGAATTTGGACTTCTAACCTCGTAACCTGTGAGTGAGTACATTTCTGCTTGTTAAAACCACTCACTTGCGTTATTTCTGAAAACTAAGACAATGTACCCAAGGCCTTAATAGGACATCAGTGCTCAGAACTCCCATATCAGGGCAGGAAGGGTCTCGGGATGTCTCACCCAACGCCCCCTCCAAATCCCACTCTGGTCTGACTCTGGCTGAGGCTGAAGGTCACAGGTCCAGGTAGGCCACACCACCATACAACTCCCTGAGGCCATCACAGAAGTTCCTGATTCTTAATCGGACCACACTTGCCACCAGCTGGGACTCCTGGGGCCAGGTCCTGAGGGAAACTAGACTCATCTACGCCCAGAGCCTAGCGAATGTTCCAGATCATTCAGGTAGGGGTATGCAAAGGGGAAAGGCACCTTCAACCATGTGAGCCCTCTGCCAGAGGAAAGCGAAACACACTTTAGTCCTACATCAGGGTCTGGGATGGACTGGGCTTTCCCTAAAGGGCAGGTCCACTGTGGAGGGAAGGACTTCATCTCTGCCTTGCCTCTTGGCCTCGCAAAGAAGGACTCAAACACAGGCCCTGGCTCAGACTTTATTGCTCCTGCCCCACAGGCGTCAGAAGGCTCCCAGGGTGTCAGATCCATGGCAGGACCTCCAACACCAAACAGGGTCAATGAGGAGGCTCGTGCTGCCCATGGAGGCCCTGCCCCCGGCTCTCCATCCTCACGTCACTCCCCTGCAGATGGTCTCTGCAGCACAGCGGGTTCAGACAGTGTCTGCTGCTGAAACTGCTCTACCAACTCGGCCACGTAGACTTTGAACAGAGGAACAGGGTCCTATAGAGGGGAGAGGGCGGTGTGAGGGTGGGTCCGCTAGGGTGGGAGACGTAAGGAAGCCCTGGCAGCAGCAAAACCCAGCTCTTCTCTGCTCAGGAGCCACATACCTTCTCCTCGAGGAGTCTCTGCTTCTCCACAGCCTCGTCCAGTGTCAAGCCGACCCACTCGGCCTCGGCCTCAGGGATGACGAACTCCTGGACAGCAAGGAGGGGAGGGGGCAGTGAGGGACTGCTCATGGGCCTGAGGCGGACAGGGCGGCAAGGGGCCAGGGAACTGGGAGGAAGCCTCACCTTGTACCTGTGGTAGATGGCTGCCCTCCGCGCAGGATCATCTGGGTGTAGCTGCGGGTCCTGCCGGGCGAGGCGCAACAGCATCCCACGCTTTAGGTCCATCCCGAACTTAGAGCACAGGTCCTCCTTTGGGGTCTGAGGGAGGCTGGATGTGGGGCCAGGTCCAACTGCAGGGCCCCCGCACCACCCTGTCTCACTTCCCCAACGCAGGCCCTTATAGTGACCTTCTAACTCCCCTCCATAAGGAGCTCTGGTATCATAATGGTTACAAATCAGGCTGCGAACCACAAGGTCAGTAGTTTGAAGCTACCAGCGGTTCCACAGGAGAAAGATGAGGCTTTCTGCTGCCGTAAAGATTTACAGCCTCAGAAACCCCGTACAGGGTCGCTAGGACACACAACAACAACAACTCCTCTCATGGCCCCAGCATGTCCCTGTGAGCCTGCTGCAGGGCCTCCCCAGCCTCGGGGCTCCACTCCCCACCCCACCCCCAGCCTACCTTGAGGATGTAGAAGTCGAACCCATAGTTCTCGTCGATGAGGTCTAGTGTCCTCATGGTCACCGTCACCGAGAACTTCTTGTCCAGGATTTCACTGTACAGCTCCCGCTGGAACAACTGTGGCTTCCAGACCTTCTTCACTCTCTTCGAGCGCTGCGGGCACGCAGGGAGGAGACCTCTGAGTGTGGTTGTCTCTCCCCATTGCCTAGCCCCCAGCCTGGTGCAGCCCAACCCCACCAGGAACTGACAGTCTGCTTCCCGCACTCTGCCCACCACCCCAGTAGCTCCTGAGTTACTTCTGACACGAGACACACAGCCTTCACTCTCCTGACTCTCCAAGCCGGGGGTGGGGGGGCCCAAGAGGCAAAGAGCAACACCAGCCAGGAAGCCTCCAGGGGCAGGATGGTGGCTCTCAGCTAAGTGTAGAAAGGTGGCTCAGCCAACCCGGGCGGTTCAGGGCTGCCCCAGGCCCGGTCTCAGGTGCCACCAGCCAGATCTGACCAGGGCAGACCGGTGTTCCCCTGGCTCTAAGGCACCGCTGGGGCCCTGGAGCAAATGAAGGCAACTGAAGTCCGCCTGCGCCCAGCCCAGCTCACCCACCTTGCGACCGACGTATCTGTGTCCCAGGATCCAGCCCTCACCACCCCACAGCCCCAGCTGGGACTCGGGGGGATGGTACAGGGGAATGGGCACGTCCTCCACGCGCTCCCGCTGCCCATTCTTGGGGTTGACTTTGAACTTGGCCTCGTGGGGCCTGTAGTGGACGGGAGTGGGCGCAGGCGCTTCCTCCAGGGAGCGGAGGTAGTACTGGGGCAGGCGCGCGTAGATGCCCTCCTTCAGCCGAAGCTGGTTCCAGAGGTAGACGGGGAACTTGTGCAGGGGCATGGCGGTGGGGCTGGGAGACGGAAGGCCGCCGTCACCTGCAGCCCGGCTGGGCTCGTCCTCGCCTCAATCTTACCCCTGACCACGGCTCTAGTCTTCAGCCTGGACTCCAACACCCCTGCCCGGCCCTAGCCCACAACTCGCAGCCCAAACCGCGTTCGCAACTCGCACACCTGCGTCCTACGGAACCGGAAGCCACGGGGCAGCTCGCCCGCCCCCGCCCACACACACCGCTGATTGGCTGCAGAGCCTATCCATCTGCCTATCCTCCTCCTCTTTAGGGACCGTAGACCACGCCCTGTGGAGATAGCAGCTGCTCAGGCTTGGTTGGCAAAGTGTGGCCCCCCGGAGCTTACGGATGGTGCGAACCGGACCGGACTCCCAATGGCCTCAGACGGAGCCTGGCTTACTCCCCTCCCGTCCCCAGAGATGGTACGCAAATAAGAACGTCAGACCTCGTTTGGCTTGAGAAATCTTTGTAGATTATATTAAATTCATCACTCATAGCAAAATAAGAGCTACATAGAAATGTCTTAACTCAGAAAAAATTATGTCCCCTATATACACCAATTCTATACACCAAAATACACTGTTCCCCTTTAGAAGTCTGGAGAATGCTTTGGTGGCCAAGTGTGCAGTGGCTGGGGTGAAGGGGGTTCAGTGACACAAAGCCAGAGCAGCTCAGTCCCACCCACGACCAGGCTCAGCAACCGGGGGTCCCTTCCACTCTGGCCTTGGGGAGTACCCACCACCACCAGCTTCCCAGGGAAGAGTGGCAAAAGTAGGCTTGGATCCCCTTTCCAAATGTGACCCAGAGCAGAGGGCAGCTCACCTGTCCGCATGGGGTCACATGGGAGGGTCACCAGCCCTGTGTCCCCAGCAACTATCAGCTTTGGCAGAGCAGGGACCTACTTAGGCTGCTGGCATTCAGGGGTGGTCTGCTCCCCACATGGGAGGGGGGCTCGAGCTTCCCTTCCCCATGACCACAGCACAGCCTCGTGAGGACGGGGCAATGGAAATGCTTTCTTCATGTATCCTCCGTCCAACCCCAGGCAGCCTGCATCTGGTCCCTGCTGGCTCGTCGCAGGAGACCACTGACCTGTCAGATGGACAGGGATACTGAAAAGCCCATCACACTGGGAGGGTGGTGGTCCTATCTCCTGAGGACCGAGCCGAAAGTCTTCTCAGGGTACTTTTATTTGTTCAGAATTCAGCCTGGACCTGACGTCCCTGTCCTGTCCTGCCCAGCCACCCACCAGCCATCACGTCACAGCATATAGCTCCTCACGGTCGTTTCTGCATATCTGATAATGGCAGGGGAGTCTCTGAGCACAGGCCCAGGGCTCAGTGTGCTCTTCGGCGGGCGGTAGCAGGAAAGCCGCACTGCCAGCCACCAACATGTGCCAGAGACTGTGGGTGTAGTAATAGTTGTCGCTGGTCATCATGAAGGTATAGATGGCCACAGCCATGGTGGCCATGGAAATGCCGGGCAGCAAGTAGAAGGCCCAGCGCTGCCAGGAAGTCGGGTAGCAGTGGCGACGCCGCCCGCAGCGGTACACCTGGAACAAACAGGTGAGTGGAGCTGGGGGTGGGGGGTGGGGGGCCCAGTGGTCACAGGGTCTGTCAGAGGGCATGGGAATCATGAGGGGGTGCTGGAAGGGGGCCCCAGGGCACAAAGGCAAAGTGTCCTGGCCTTCTAATGTATGTTCGTAGCCAGTGCTCAGTGGGGGTGGAGGACTTGGTGGCCACAAGGGGCCACACTCTTCTCCTGGAATGAGGCTCTCCCCAGTGCTGGGAGGGTGTTTCAGGAGCACCCATGTGCCCTGGATTCTTACCCACATGGAGACCATGACCACAAGAGCGAAGAGGCAGGGCCCCATCATGTTCCAGGCACCCCTGCGGTCCAGTTGCAGGGACATGGCGATGACCAGCGTACCTAGGAGAAACAGGACCTATGGACAGAAATGGTGGCGGTCACAGGGAGTCCAGACACACTAGGCCCCACTGGCTACCACCACTGTCCCCATTCCAGCGCTGCTGGTTCATCTTGTTCCTTGGTTTCCACACTGCTGGGCTCCAGTGCCCCAGTCCACCTGTTCACATGTGGACTGGGGTCAGGCGTGTCCAAGGCACAAGACTTCCTAGGCAGACAGGGAGCCTTGATGAGAACTAGAAGGTGGTGCTCCTTCACCTGGGCTATGCAACCCTGGGTTTCCAAGGGTTCCACACAGGGAGTCCTGTCTTCCCTAGCTGCTCCTCTTGTGAACTGAACTGTGCACCAAACTATGTAAGCCCTAAACCCCTATACATGTTGATGCAGTCCACAAACAGACTGGTGTGGGGCATGTTCAAACCAATCACATTTGAGCTATAGAAAGGAATAGATGAGGCACAGAAAACAGAACAAAGTAAGAGCAGGTCTATGTACATGAAGGTCTGCAGGGAACGCCAGAGGAACTAAGTCAGAATGTGGTACCAGAGAGTGGGATGCAGCTTTCAGCAGATCCCTAAAATCTGAAAGTGGTTTTGTGATTGGATAGTGGGTAGAATCCAGAGGAATTTTGATGTACTTCCTAGTGAGGGCCTTGGTTACCTTGAAGATTGTTGGCAGAATTGTAGGCATTGTGGAGGATTCTGTTGATAATTAAGAGCTACGATCAAAGTGTCTATCCTCACGCACAGACCGTTGCTAGAAATGTTGAGATGTGAACATTACTGTGTACTTTTGGTGAAACTTTGAAAGGAAATGATGGACATGTGACTGAACAATAGAAGAAGGGTGATAACTTTTTATGAAGTAACAAAGGGCTCTCTAAATTATGTTCGAATATGGTAGAAGCTGGAATGTAAGTGATGAACTTGGATATTTGGTTGAGGAAATTTCTAAGCAAGAGCTTAAAGGGGGCTGCATGATTTTTCTTCTTGACCCTTGTAGTAAAATTTAAAAGAGATAGTCTTAAAAATAGAACTGTTGAAAATGAGACCCAAATATAAAAAATTTGGAAAATTCTGCTCTACAAACTCAGGACATGTGTCCCAGAAGTGCCACTAAGGACACTGTGACTCAACCTTTTGTGTTTGTGACTGATGGACCCGTCCAACCACATGAGTAAAACACCCCTCCGTTTTCTCTGAAGGGGACAGAAAGATGAGAGAAAGCTGTCTGCCTCCTGGAATTCTACAGCCAGGAACAGGCCAATGGAGTGATTTCGTTGCAAACATCTGCTGTTGTCTAAGAACTGGCAGCAGTCCCAGAAACAGTTCAAAGACCAACAGTACTGCTTCCATTTCAAAGGATTAAACAAGGTAGGAGAGAGTGCCTGCCAGCTTCCAAAGCATTGGATTCCCACATACTCATTCCAGAAGGCAGGGCTACCATTCAATTAGGCCAAGAGGATGAGGCCTGCATCCAAAGCAGAGGGGATGGGACTGCCATCTCCAAGGGATTGAGGGCTGGGCTTGCCACTCAGATGGACTAGGAAAATGGGGTTACCCAAAGCTGAGGGAACAGAGTTGTCCTCTCAGGAGGCCTGGAGGGCTGAGTTGGTGTCCATGGCCAAGGAGCCTCTGCCCAAAATCTAGACGTCACGGCTAAGACCCAGAGTCTGGAGCACAGGGCCACTGCCCAGATGGTTCCAGAGACAGAATGGAATTTGGTCTACTGGACTTAGATTTGCTTGCTGCCTGTGGACCCTTCTTTCTGTCCAGTTTCTACCATTTGTAATGGAAATGTCTACCCTGTGCCTGTTCCACCATTGCACTGGTTGTGGTTGTGAAGTGCCTTTGAGTTGGTTCTGACTCAGAGAGACCCTGTATAGGGTTTCCGAGGAGCAGCTATACTTAGAGAGCACAGGTCACTTGATTTCTGGATTCCACGGGTCGAACAATGGAAAGGAATTTTGCCCCGGATGGAAATACCCAGGTTCTTGTCTCCGTGAAATTTGGGATTTAGAGTTGATGTAAGACTTTTGAGATGACACATGATAGGGTGTTTTGCACATGGGAAGGACATGAATTTAGGGGATCAAAGGGTGAAATGTTATGGATTGAATTCTGTACCTCAGACATGTTGTTGTTAAGTGCCATCGAGTCGGTTCCGACCCATAGCGACCCTGTACAGGGTTTCCGAGGGTGTAAATCTTTACGGGAGTAGAAAGCCTCATCTTTCTCCCACGGAGCGGTTGGTAGTTTCGAACCGCTGACCTTAAGGTTCACAGCCCGATTCGTAACCACTACGTGTTGTAAATCATAAAGCCCTGTGCTTACTGGTTAAAGTCCATTTACGAACAGGACTATCTTTTTTCTGAGAATGAAGCATGTCAGTGTAGGGTGTGTCTTAAGCTAATCACCTGAGACATGTAAAGAGTTGATAAGGCACCCAGGGAAAGAGACACTCTGAATTCTGACTGTGGCCAGTAACTCTTTCCTTTCTGCAAGTTCGGAGCCATCAATACTCAGCTGGTGTACCGAGGGATGTTTCCGAGCCTCCCACCCCTCCCTGCACAGGGGCTTCCTGAGGGGGCCTCCCTCAGCATAGCCCCTGGTTAGCAGGTCCTGATTCTTAGAGCCAATAGCAGCTTCTGGTCACAAGGGCAGACAGGCATCAATAGTCAGACTGGCTGAAACAGACTCCAGCATCAGGGACCAGGAGTGGGACCAGTGGCAGAGTTCCTGGGCCCACGAGAGATGATAGCCTGAGGTGCTTGGGTAGCCTTGCCTACATCTCCTTTCCCAGAGTCCTCTGGACAGCTGGCTCTGCTCCGCTGAAGACAGGAAGAACCCGGCTTTCCAAGGGCACAAGGACACTCCCCTCACCTTCTTCCATCTGCCTCTGCTCCCCAGACCCTAGGTGTCAGGAGGGACACTCACGTATTTCAGGACCGGCTTCAGTCGTGCCATGCATAGGATGGTGACCCAGATGGACACCACAGAGCCCAGGAAGTCACAGTACTGCAGCGTGTCATAGTTGAGGATGCACAACACAGCTTCTCCAGGCTGGTCACAGGCGTGATAGAACTGTGGGTGGCATGGAGGGGACAATGAGGGTCTGGTCCCACTGCCCGCCTGCCCACCCGCCCGCCCACCGGGGGTCTCTGGAGGGCCCACCGTGGAGAAGAACATGGTGTAGGCGTAAACAGACGCCTCCACCAGGAAGGTGCGCTGGACAGAGACGACGATGGGGGCCAGGAACATCAAGTTGCTGAGGGTGAGCAACAGCGCAGCTACCGTCTGCTGAGTCAGCGTCTGGGCCGTGGTGTTGTCTGTACAGCTCCAGCCACGCCAGCCTGCGGACAGGGAAGTGCTGAGCCTTGGTCCCCCCAGGTCCCGGCACAGAGCACCAGCTGGGAGCAGGAGTAGGGTGGGGAGGGGCTGGGGCACCTCACCAGCCTTGCAGCTGCAGCCTGCATACAGGTAGCCATGTCTGCGGAGCAAGAGGCACTGACCATACGGCCCACAGTCGTCCATGCAGGGCTCCAGGTACAGGGCGGTCTCCACACGCACTTTGGTCTGCTCACACTCTCTGCACAGGAAGGCAGGTGGCCCCTGGGACACAGAAACACGCCCCCACCCACCGCTCGGCCCAGGGCTGCTACTGGAGTGACCTGAGGGCAGGAGCCTGGCCACTCCTCACTGCTGGCCAACCCCAGTTACCTAGTAGTGCCCCCCCAGGCCTCAGGTTCACTCACTCAGGGTTGTCGGGACACACAAGCTGCAGAGAGAGGTACCAGTTGTCCGTCTCTGGGAAGGGGACGATCAGGTTGGCCCGCTGGGAGGTGGCATTCAGGGTAAGCAGGTGGCCCTGAAAGAAGGCTGGGGTAGGAAGGCATGGTCAGAGATGGCGGAGTGGCCAGCCTGGCACCTCCTGCTGCCCACCTGCCCACATACCTGTGGTACAGTTGTGGGAAGTGTTAAAGCTGAGGAAGGGGGAGGCGGCGTTCACACAGGCCATCAGCTGGGTACCGTTCTTGACCATGGTCTAGAGGGAGTTAGATAGTCAGGGTCAGCCCAGGCCCCAGTGTGGCCCAGAGCCAGCACCATTGTCCAGTAGGGGCCACTGATGTCCAACTGAAACCCTTGACTGGCCTCTTCCTACCCGGCAGCCCCATTTCCTCAGGCGTAGCCTCTGGCCCTAGCCTAGCACCTGGCCGGTGTCACCTGGCTGCTTAAACTCTGCTTCCATGGCCAAAGTTAGCCCACAAAGGCCAAAGGAGGCACTGCTCAGGCCAGAGCCCCCACCCCGAGCAGCCCTGGGTACCTCGTTGGTGCGCAGGGAGATGGTGAGGGAGCCTCCACTGTCTATGCCTGTGTTGAGATGCAGACGCAGCACGGAAGGCATGTCAGGGTTCACAAGCACCAGGAGCCTGTCCAGGGGCCGGAAGCGCAGTGCCAACACGTCCATGTCCTCTCGCAGCATAGGATAGTTCATGAGGCACGCAGAACTGACCGGCCCACCACCGAGGACAGGGTTCTGGGGGACATCAGTAGTGTTGCGGCTCTGGTTGGAGCTGTCCTGCAGGAGGTACTGGACACTCACAGTCCATGGTCTGCAGGCTACCGAAGGACAAGGTCAGTCAGGATGCAGACAGGGCAGAGATGTCCAGGTCTGCCCGCCCGTCCGCCCGTCAGCTATGCACTCACCTGTGAGGGTAGCCACTGCACTGAAGGCCACTAGGACATGAGGCCCCACTAGGCTCTCGACTGTCACCTGCAGCCACCGGTCCCAGGGTAGGGAGCGCAGCCGAAGACGGCAAGGCTGGGGGTGGCTGGAGCAGCTAAGCACCCTCTGGAAGTTGCTGGGCAGGGTGACGGAGCCCACAGCCAGGCGCACGGGGCAGGCGTGACTCCCATTGGACATACAGTCCCGTAGTTCCAGCAACACCTCTTGAGTGTACTCCGGGATGAAGACCCTAAAGGACACAAAGGGGGAGGCAGGCGGCGGAGCAGGAGCAGGCAGGCTGACATGGTCCCCACGTCCCCCCTGCAGAGTGGGGACAGCAGTGACCCTCTACTCCCCATCTCTGCGGGATCAAACGTCCCACACCTGCCTCCCTGGGCCCCAACTCACTTGAGGTAGCTGGGGCGTGAGAGAAAGAGGGTCTGTGGCAGAGGCACGTCAGGCTCCAGCACAGAGACCTCCACTGCCCGTAGGACCAGCATGTCCGGCTGGAAAACGTACGCACAGGAGGGGAGGAAGCCCTGAACAGAGAGTCAGGCTGGGGGGCTGCAGGGCCAGACACCCAGTTGGTGGCCAGAACTGAATAGGGCCCACCCGCATGCACCAGGGGAGATGGCCCCTCACCTTCACCTGGATCTTCTGGGCTGAAGGGGGCAGGTGGGCAGCCACGAACCAGTCCCCGGGTGCCGGGTGTGAGACGTTGACAGAGGCATTGTTCCGTAGCACCCCGCTCAGCAGCATCTTCATGTGGAAGGAAGGTGGCAGGAAGGTGTTGTCCGGGAAGCTGGTGTCCAGGGGGTTGATGACCGGAGGGGCACCGTAGCGGAAGTGCCTGGGGTGGGAGAGGGAGGTGTCAGGGTTCAGCTGGCAAACTTGGGCTGTGGGGTGGCTGTCAGGATGCGTGCAGGGCAGGTGGGCACACACACGGTGATCTCCATGTCTGTGCACGAGGGTCCACTGCCCCGAGATGCTTGCAGCAGCCATTGCAATAAAACGGTGTCCGGGGGGACTTGGAAGCGGAAGAGCCTGATGCTGCCGTACCAGCTGTAGAAGGACAGTCGCTGCGGGGTTTGCGAGAAGAGCTCGGACACAAGCCACATGTCTGTGGGGACACGCACTGAGTTAACCCCTTGATTGCCACTTGGCCCTGGCTCAGTCCCTTCAGGCATCCTGTCCCTGCTCAAAGTCTACACAGCCTGTACCATCTCCTCCCGGTCTCGGGCTTAGATGCTGCTCTCAGCTGTCCCCAGATACTCACTTCCCTCTTTCCTCATCTCACACCCACGTCTCTGCTTCTAGGGAACAACCACCCTCAACCCCACAACCCCTGCCCCTTAGAAGCAGGAAAGCCCCACATGGCTGCGCACCAGAGCTCTGCCCCGACCCTGTGTGTCCACACTAAAGGATGTAGGGTGACCATGGTGAACCCTGCCCCTCCTCTTGTCTGCCCTGAATATTGGGCACAAAGACCCCCGGCATAGGTACTTCCTGGGTACTCTCTGTGCTTGGAGATTGGCCAGCTAGGCCTAGGCTCTGGCTCCATGCCTCATGTGGAGTGACCTTGGACTGTCCTCTCTCACTCTGGGCCACCTAAGGTGGACAGCACCGCCCTCTGGTGCTGTTCCCTTTGAGGTTAATGGATACTGATGTATGTGTAGGAAAGAAATGTGAAGAAGCAAGGTGGAAATAGCAGTTAGGTCATTGTGGGTGGTCCCCAACCACAGTGCTGCCAGGAAGCCTCCCTTTACCCCACGGGGGAACAGCAGGCCCAGGCCCTTCCAGGGCATCAGGTGAGGGAGCTAGGTGATAGCCAGTTCTCATGCCAGCCTCATGACGAACCCCCCACTGCATGCCCCATGGAACAAGGGAGAAAAGACCATAATCAGCACCGGCTAGAGGGATTCCTTATGGGGACTGGTCCTGGTGGGTACATCAGGCTGGGCACCTGGGCTCCTGAGGTCACTAAAGCTCCCCAAAGGCCATAAGGTAAAGTTAGAACCTAAAGTGCTGGGGCTGGGGGGTAGACTCCTCCCCCATCTGACACCCTGGAGGGATCTTGACTGAAACTTGGCTGCCATCTGTCCACCAAGTGAAGGCACGAGGAGCTGCAGGAAAATGTCTCAGGCCCCTTCAGCTGGGTGAGCTCCGGCCTTCAAGACACCTGGGAGTACTGGCAGGTGCACCAGAGATAAGAGGGGCTCTCTTTCCCAGTGCCCAACACGTGCCCCACTGACTCCCCAGCACCAGCAGAGACACCCACATAAGTTATCTGAGTGAGTAAGACAGGTGCTTAGCAGAAGTACACGTCACAGTTATGACTTCAGGGAAGCTGAGGGGGACCACCTGCCCCACCACCTCAGAGGACAGAGGCAGAGGGCTGAGAAGGGGGCAAGGAAACAATCCTGAGCCTTCCAGGGATGCCAAGTGAGGAATGCCTCACACCAGGACAGGAACTAAAGCCCCTGGGCAGACCCCTCCCCACCAGTGACCCCTCACCAGCCTCTCAACTGGCATATGGAAAAAGGAGAAGAGAGGGGTGCCAGTATCCATCACAGCAATTTAATCAGGAGCTCAGTCCTCAGGGACAACCTTGCATTTCAAGCTGTGCCAAGCTCAGAACTAGAAGAGAGTTTCAGAAGAAATAGGAGCTCCAGGAGCAAGATTTCAGAGGCACCAAGGGGGAGGGGCGGGAGATGGGAAGGGAAGGGAAGTGGAGTCACCAGCCAGCTTGTCCTCTGGGAGTGGCCCTGCCCAGTGGGCATCTGGGCCCTCCAAGGCAAGGATCTGGGGGAGGTACCCAGGGGCGGTCCTGCTCCAAGAAGAACTTGAGGGCATGGCAGCCCCCTCCTTGGGCCTCAGCGAGGGCTGGGTACCCTCAGGAACAGAAATACCAAAGGCTCAGCAAGTTTCCAACCACCAGATTGGTTGGGAAGCTTTACCCCAGACCCACCGGGCTATTCGGCCATTCAGAGTCCAGCCCAACATCCAGTGAAAGTGAGAACTCCATAGTCCCCACCCTCAAGCCCTGCTCCAGGGTCTAACTAAGCAACTTTCTCCCAGCTCCGCTCTTCCCATGGTCCATGGTCCCCCCCCCCCTCCTTTCCCAGCGGGCCTGTGCTGAGTCCTCTGAACTCCTCCGCCTCGGTGTGGGGCACGCGACCCTGAGCAAAGGACAGGGAGGGCACGTTTGGAGTGGTCCATCAGGCAGCCCTGGGGGCTCAGGGGGCGCGCGGCAGTCCTTTCCATTCCAGCCGCTCGGATGCAGGGCGTCCCAGGCGGGGTAGGGAGCTCTCGGCCCTGCACGACACCCATGAGCGCACAGGTGCCCCCAGGTGAGTCACAATCCCGGCCCCTCCCCGCCCGCACCCCCGGGATGGCGCCCCCCGCCGGACCCTGGCGCGCACTTGCTCACCGTTCTTCCTGCGGTCGCCGGCGGCGACGGGCGGGGGCCGCGCGAGCAGCAGCAGCAACAGCAGGAGAAACCCTGCCGCCGCCGCCGCCGCGCCCCTGGCCCCGGTGGCAGCCCGGCCCATGTCTCCGCGCTCGGCCGGCGCTACCCGGACCGCGTCCCCGGCTGCCCGCCCCCGCCGCTGCCTGGGCAGCCGCCGCTGCCACTGCGGCCACCGCCACCGCCGCAGCCTCTGCCTCCGGCTCCCATCGTCCCGGCCGGTCCCGCCGCGGGCGCCCCGGGCACTTCCGCCTGCGTGGCCCCGCCCTGCCGGGAACCCGGTTGGAGGGGGGCCTGGGGGTAGGGTGGGGTTAGGGCGTGCGGGGGGAACGGAGCGGAGGAGGGAGTGAGAGCGCGAGGGGCAGTGAGGGAGCGTGGAGACGACGTAGGGGCGGGTGGAACGAGAGGAGAACGCGCGGGGAAATGGGTCAGAGCGGGGACGAAGATGGAGGGGGACTCGGCGCGGTGCGGGGAGCGGGGCAGGATAGAAAGTAGGGTCACGCTGTGCACGCGGGGGACGGGGATGGAGGAGGTGCGGCGGTGTGCATTAGAACGCGCTAGAGATGTGACAGAAGTTCTGTCACGGGGGGCGCTGCCAGTCCAGGGGCAGGTGTGCGTGTGGGTTCACAGGGCTGAGCCCCCCAACATGAGGACGGTGGAGTTCTGCCCGGCACGCGTGTGCTTCAGCCACAAAACCACACATACTCATGGGAAGAGGAAAGAGACCCTTGTACCTATGGAAATGTAGTGCTGGGAGAGGTGGTCTTTCATGTTAGTGAGTGGGACTAACGCCGAGACCTCGGGGAAGATAGCAAATAACTTAAACACGTAAGCAAAAAAAGAAAAGATAAAAGTCACAGAATCGAACTTGAGGAAACTTTTTCAGTCTTGACAAAGGAAGGCCTTTTCTAAGTATTGCACCACATCCCTAAGAGACAGAGGCAAGAGGAGAGATTCAACCATGTGGAACTGAAAACGACAGAACGGAACCACAAGCCAAGTAAAAACCAAGCTACAAACTGGGGAGGTGGAGGGGACAAGCTTGGGACCCTTATTGGAAAAGATATAAAATAAGGATCAGTAGGAAAACAACTCTCCAAAAAAGAAAAGATCAAAGAAAATGGCCAGAGAGTTACAGAAACGGATATGCAAATGCGAGGCAGGAAGGTGTCCAGCCTTCCTCCAGAAATGCAAATTTTAAAAGAATGCGGGCGGGTGTGTGTGTGTGTGTGTGTGTGCCTTTTAATTTTTTTTACCTTATAAATCAATATAGATAAAAAGCGTTTGATCTCATTGTATGGGCCACAGATACATTATAGGGTGATGTGCTTAGGACAAGTCTCAAGGAAGCTTCTGACACACCTACCCAAGTAACCAATAGCACCAAAACCCAAACCAACCATATTGTGTGAGTACCATGAACACGCTCTGGGATGACCCTACCTAGCACCATCACTGCAGTGGGCTGGACACACTCTCAAGGGCTGCTGTTTGGATCCCCAGTCTCCAATCTGTGAAAATGCTTGAAAAAACCAGGAAGCTCTGTAGGTCCCGATGGGCAGAGCCTGTCAGACAAATTAGCTGTCGGCTGCCGTTTTTGTGCAAAAAGAAAAACATACATGAACAAATAATGCTTCTGGAGGACACAGTGGGTTGGTGGGGGACTCTCAGGGAGAGGGCTTTTTCGCATTCTACCTGTGGTACCTTTTGACCTTTGTACCCTGTGAATTCATTGTCCTGGTATGAAGGGAGGGGTTAGGGTTAAAGGCTGACTGGGCCAACTACAGGCCACTGAAGAGCAGGGCAGAATGGAGGGTGGAGATCTTGGAGGAAGGAAACCCAGGCTGTGTGCAAAGCCCTTTGTGCCCTAGCAATCTGGGCCGGGCCCTCCCAGTTTAAAGGGACAGGTCAGTTTCTGGGTTTTGTAAAACTGGGTCAGCATTTTAGGCCTGAGCACCCGTCCTAGAGTGGCACTGTAGGATAAGCATTAGATTGCTAACCTCAAGGTCGGCAGTTCAAACCCACCAACCACTCCTTGGAAACCCTATACAGGGTCACTGTGAGTTGAAATCGACTCATGGAGACTTAGCAACCCTATCCTCTGAAATCACCTAGGGTCTTACAGGGAATATGCTCAAACGTCCCAAACCCTGCCCTTTCCCGGGATGGGCTGAGCCCTCCTCACTAGAAGCGCTCTTGGTAAGCACACCTCACAATTTTACTGATCCATGTCCCTGTAGCCCAAGTTCCACGCCAGGCTTAGTCCCTTGTTAAAAAGGAGCTCAGAAGACACCAAGTAGAGTATCTCATCTTCATTGGTTTGTATTGAGCCTAACTCACACCGCCCCCATGTGTGCCATTGTAGAACTGCACTCCACAGGGTTTTCAGTGAAAGTAGATGGACCACAAGAACCCCTCAGCTCTGCAAACTTCCCTCTGAGGTTTGGGGTGTTAACCTGGAAGCATGAACTGTTGCCACCTGGCTGCTTGGTGTGGGGAGTCTCTGTGCTCCGGGACGGGATGCAAGGAGCATTGCTACCTTTGTTTTGGATAAAGGTCAGAAGTGTAACCCTGAAACCTACTGCTGTTGACTTGATTCTGTCCTGGAGGACAGTAGGATTGCCCCATAGGGTTTCTGAGTTTAGATATCTTCCTCCTGAGGAGTGATTGCTGAATTTAAACCTCCACCCTTTGGTTTCGCAGCTGAGCTTGACCATTTACCATTTCGTCACCAGGCTGTTTAGCACCATCCCCTTGACATCAGCTCTGACTCACCAGGCTGGAACTGTCCTGTGGGGTTTCAGAGTCTGTGGAGCTTTAGGGAAGCACCTACCACATCTTTCTCCTGCACAGCGCCTGGGGAGTGCTAAGTGCTGTCCTTGTGGTTGTTGTTGTTGTTAAGTGCCATCGAGTCGGATCCGACCCATAGCGACCCTGTACAGGGTTTCCGAGGCTGTAAATCTTTACGGGTTTTAGCAGCCCACTAATGAACCCACTGTGCCTTGTGCCCACAAAGCGAAACAACAAAAACAGAGCATGTCACCTTCCTGGTGGTGTCTCCATGGGCACAGAGCATGCCTTCTTCTGCCACCCCGCAGGTCACCATAAGCCAAAGGGAGATGTTCATCCCTGCAAAGTATAGGAGCGTCTGAGGCTCTCAGACCTCTTCCATCACCTTCCATCCCCCAGTGCCAGGCCCTGTGAAGACCCCTCTTCCTGGGTACCCTCTCTCAGCCCAATGGTTGGGAAGAACCCTTCCTTATCTGCTATGTGGACATGGGGTATCCTGCCTACCCCCGACTCCCACTGCAGGTTTCTGAAAGCACACTCTCTGGGATGGAAAGGAGGTTGTCATCCTGGGAGGCCCCAACTTGTTAGCATAAACTAGTCCAAGGGTACCCAGATATTTGTGTTTCATAGGAATGTTGTTGTTGTTAAGTGCCATTGGTGATCCTGTATAGGATTTCCAAGGAGCAGCTGGTGTGTTTGACCACTCACCTTGTGGTTCAAACTGACTATTGCAGTCCAGCACATGAACCCATAGTGCCACACTGGTCTCCCCAAAAAGTTTTCAGAACAAAATAGGGTTTCCGAATCTTTATTCTGAAATAAAAAAAAAAAATTAAAGCCCTACTAACTTCCGGTGTGGCGCTGTGGGCTAATGCATCAGACAGCAAAGTCATTTGAACAGCAAGGTTGGTGGTTCAAGCTCACCAGCTACACAGGGTCGCTATGGGTCGCAATCAACTTGACGGCACTTCACAACAACAACAACAACAACATCTGTTAGTACATGGTCAGGCAACTGTCAGAAATTCAAGGAAGATTCTGAAAAGGATGTGGAACAATGTCACAAGGATCTTGACAAAAGTATTCTCTTGTGTGTGGATCATAATACACTACAGATAAGATTGTGAAGGAGTCCTGGTGTGGCACTGTAGGATTAAGATTGGACTGCAAACCGCAAGGTCAGCAGTTCAAACCTACAAGCTACTTGGAAACCTTTTTCAGGGTGACTATGAGTGGGATCTGGTAGCGTAGTGGTTACGAATCGGGCTGCGAACGTTAAGGTTCAGCGGTTCGAAACTACCAGCCGCTCCGCGGGAGAAAGATGCGGCTTTCTACTCCCGTAAGGATTTACACCCTCGGAAACCCTGTACAGGGTCGCTATGGGTCGGAACCGACTCGAAGGCACTTAACAACAACAAATGAGTGGGAACTGACTCAACAGCACTTACATGTGATCATAAGGTCGGTGGTTCAAACCTACCAACGACCCCTTGGAAACCCCTTACAGGGTCACTGTGAGTAGGAACGAACTCAACAGCACTTAACAGCAACTATATGTATATGTATATATAAGGAGCTCTGATAGCGAAGTGGTTACGAATCGGGCTGCGAACCACAAGGTCAGCAGTTCGAAACTACCAGCTGTTCCGCAGGAGAAAGATGAGGCGTTCTATTCCCGTAAATATTTACAACATCGGAAACCCTGTGCAGGGTCACTATGAGTCGGAACCGACTCCACAGTACACAGACAGCCATATGTATATATAGGCGTCCTGGTGTGGTGCTGTGGGTGCTGTGGGTTAATGCGCCTGACTGAAAAGCCGTTTGAACTGCAAGGTCAGCGGTTCAAGCTCACCAGTTGCTTCTCGGAAACCCTATACAGGGTTGCTATGGGTCGGAACCAACTCGACAGCACTTAACAACAACAACAATATGTATATATATATATATATATGGAGCTCTGGTAATATAATGATTACCAGTTGGACTGTTAACCTCAAGATCAGTAGTTCAAAACGACCAGCCATTTCATGGGAGAAAGATGAGGCTTTCTGCTCCTATAAAGATTTACAGCCTTGGAAGCCCTATACAGGGTTGCTATGAGTCGGAGCCAACTCCACAGCACACCACCACCACATAGATCTGTATATATGTAAATACATATATATACATATATAAGTTTTGCTCTTCTAGAGACCCAGCCTATGACAACCAGATGGACGGACACAGTGGCTGTAACAATGAGCTCAGGTAACAATTATGAGGAAGGTTCAGGAGGGCAGGCTTTTGCTCTGT